GGAGAGAGAGAGCGCGCGAGTGAGCGGGGAGGAGTGAGGAGAGAGAGCGCGCGAGTGAGCGGGGAGGAGTGAGGAGAGAGAGCTCGCGCGAGTGAGCGGGGAGGAGTGAGGAGAGAGAGCACACGCGAGTGAGCGGGGAGGAGAGAGAGCGCGCGCGAGTGAGTGGGGTGGGTGAGGAGAGAGAGTGCGCGTGAGTGAGTGGAGGGGTGAGGAGAGAGAGCGCGCACGCGAGTGAGTGGGGGGGGTGAGGAGAGAGAGCGTGCGCGCGTGTGAGGGGGGGGGTGAGGAGAGAGAGAGAGAGCGTGGTGGGGGGGGGGAAAAGAGAGAAAAATCACACAGTCACCACACGTCTCCAAAGTTGCTGCTGGTTGGACTAAAAAGCTTATTTCAAGCAGCATCAAATTTTAAGTCATTTCGTGAAGTCGGTGGGGGGGGGGGGAGAGAGAGAGAGAGAGAGAGAGAGAAAGAGAGAAAGAAAGAAAGGGAGAGAAAACTGCAGTGGGGTCACCTGTAATGCCTCATGAAGCCAAGATCCCAGTTGAGGCGGTCCTCATGGGTACTGAACTTTGCTATCAGCCTCTGTTTGATGACTCTGCGTTGTTGTGTATCCCAAACGTCCTTGACCACTGAAGTGCTCCCCCACCGAGGGAACATTCCCGTCTGGTGATTGTTGCGCGGTGTCCATTCATCCGTTGTCATTGCATCTGCATGGTTTCACCAATGTACCATGCCTCCGGGAATCCTTGCCTGCAGCCTAAGAGATAGACAACATTGGCCAAGTCACATGAGTATCTGCCGTGCAGGTAGTGGGTAGTGATCCTACGACAAAGATCTGAAATGTCTTGCAGAAATTACCATGGCAGGGTTGTACTGTGTTGTGGTCAATGTGGTCCTGAAGGCTGGATAGTTTGCTGTGAACAGTGGTCTATTTCAGGTTTGATGGTTGTTTAAGGTACAGGCGGGAACCTTCCAGACTTTTGACTATTTAGATAACCATTTGAAACATTATAGATGCAAGGCTCAGGGCCAGGTGTAGAAAAATGGGATTACTTGATGTCTGGTACTGACAAAATGAGCTAAAGGGCCTTTTTTTTTGTCATGTTCCAGGACCCGGTGAGGGATCTGGCATTCAGAGGCCGCAAGCAAGCCCTGCCCAAGCATGTTCCAGCACCGGTAGTTGTAGAATTAGAGGCAGCAGGAGGAGATCAGAAGTGGTAGCATTAGCAGCAAACACTCAGCTCCTCCCAAGACTCCAGGCTGTGGGCTGGCCTGGGTGCCTGCATGGAGACAACTTAAGTTTTAATGTTTGGACATTTCTCATTCCTTTTGGCTTTGTTTCCTTTATTTCTGTTTATTTAATTACAATTTTATAATCGTGTGCAACCAAGATGGTGCCAACGAATGGCAACTTTGTATACTTTTCAATGTACTCCTATATTCCTATACTTCAGTACACGTGACAAATCTAATTCTAATTCTACCCCATCATTTACCTTCTCTCAACGTTGTTAAAGTGCTTTTAGAACCTTTTAAACATGAAAACGGAAATTACAGCTGCAAATTGGAGTTTCACTTCAGTGCCAATTCACTCCATTGCTGCCTACATAGATTTTTCTGTCCTCGACTGCACTGAAGATTTGGGCCATTATGAGCAGTGAGCCCAATGACCAGTGGAGCAAGTTGAACAATCCTTCAATAAATTAGAACTCAGGTGTCATGTACAATGGTCAAGATTTTAAAAGGCTGATACTGAAAAACAAGATAGCTGATCACAAAATAACAGAATTGTAACAGCACAGAACCCAGAAGGAGGCCATTCAATCTATCTGTGCCTACTGCATTCTCTGGATTCAGTGAAAGGACCATCAGTGAAAAAACAGTAGCATCTATTTGAAGATAGCTATGCAATCATTCAGATAGAACTCCTGCAAAATCACAATGGACTGAACACTGCATCTGGATCCCAAAACATTTCTCCTCTGCCAGGTCTGGTTACTTAACTCTCAAAAAACAAAAAAAAAAGCAACACTCCTGGAAGCAAAGCAGCACTGACATTAACAACAGGGAGGTCTTTCTTATCCTTGTTTAAAGCTGCAACAACTCATCTGTCCAGCAGCATCATGCTTTGAGTTTAGACATGTAAACGACAAAAGGCAGCATAGGAACAGAAAGAAAATGCTGCACTCCACATCTGATTCTGTTATGGACATCCTGCTCCATGTGCCCAGAGATTTGGTTTATTCACTTGCATGGAGACCCACAACAGAAACTCTGCATAAGTATTATCCTCAAATTAAGGGAACAATATTCTGTGTAGTTTACCGAGTCTCATTTCCCCCATAGGCATGAATGTTCTCTTTCACATATCAATCAAATTCCCTCTTGAATACACAAGCTTCACACAGCAAATCCTAACTGCTATTGCTTCTTTGACAAATTACTTCAAATTTGTCCCCTCTCAATCCATTGGGAACAAGTTCTCTCTATCTGCATGATCCAGGCACTTCAAGATTTTGAATAAGTATCAAACCTTCTCTCAATCTTCTCTTTCCAAGGAAAATAGTCTCAACTTCTCCAATCTATCAAAACAAACTCCTCATTCTGGAACCATTCGAGAGTCTTCCCCCTAATGATTTCACATCTTTTTCTAAAAATCGTGTTCCTGGTCTGTTAAAGAATGTATCCAGGTTTGCTGCCATATATCATGCTGTGTAAGTTGATCCCATCTCTTTCCACTTATAAATGGATGTTTTATTTTCTAATAAGTTATAACTGTGCACAAGAGATCAAACCATGGATGAGAGTTGGGTTGGAAAGAAGTCCTTTAAATGGCAACCACCAAACCAGTTCACTTTTATAGTCACCACATCAGTCAAGACATTTTTTGAAAGGATTTTCAGGTTTATATAAAAACATTTGTTGTTATCATTTTCTGCTTTATATATCCATTTTGTGATAAGTCTCCATGGTTGCAAGATGTCCAATATTGCCTCATTAACAGTGTACCACTGACCAGAGTTTAATGTAATCAGTAAAATACTTACTGCAAACTTGAAACTGTACACAATCTGTGTCATGAATGTTTAAAATCTGCTGAAAGCATTGTTCATTATCAGCCAAAAGAAATATGTTGAGTGAACTGCCAGGATCCTGACATGATCCCAACTTCTTCCATGTTTCAAGGGCAGATTCTAAGATATAGGAAACCCCCTTAGATCGGTTGGGAAACCAATTAAGATATTTAAAATAATTAATTACTGTTAACTTTTAATTAATTGCCAAGACATGTTTCTTATCTGTGAGTAACCTGACAAGGTCATCAGGGCAAGTGAACAACATTGGGGCCTTCCTCAATGAAAGTGAAGTGCAGAGTTATAGAAGGGCTTCAGACCTGGCCAGCCACTCATCTGTCATGTGCCCCAGAGATCCTGGATCATTACTGTACAGTCTTGAGGTAGAAGGGATCACACATCTGCTTTCCTTTGACATTTTCATCCAAGACTGTCCTTGGAAGCATTGCCCTCAGTGCAGTCCCTCAGGTCCCAGAGCAGAATCTCTAGGAAGACAAAGGCTTGAGGACCACCCTTCATTGGTTTTCTCTCCATTCCCCCAACTGCTTCAGCCTTTAAAATCCAAGTACTGCAAGTCATTCTAACCCACATCATGGACCCTTTCATTTGAAATCCTTCCTTGAATAGAATGGACATGTCATCCTGTTCATGCTCACAATGGTTTCTCACATCAGGCAGGATGTTGATGCCTTTGCTCAGTAAAAGAGCCCAAGCAAAATTTGTTCATTAGTCATATTCATCCCTGACCTGCTAATGGTCCTGACATCTTGGCTGGGACTAAGTGTGAATCATTCCACTTACGGTATTGAAGTATGATAGATCCAGTCAGTTACTTTTCTAACAGCCTGGGTTAAAGCATTATAATGGAGGTCATTATTCAAATATTTTATCCAAAACTGCTTTATAAAATGTAATTCAAGATGAAGCAGGGGGTATCATTTACAAGATCAAGAAGCTTGACTCCGTCCAGAAAAAAAGCAGCACATTTCACTGGGACCACATCCAAAGACAGCCAGTCCCTCCGCACCATAACGGTGTGTACTATTGACAAGATAAGCTGCAGAAATTCACCAAAGCTCCTTGGACAGCACCTTCCCAACGCACATCCACTTCCATCTATAAAGGAGAAGGGCAATAGATACATATGAATACCACCATCAGCACGTTCCCTTCCAAGCCACCACATCCTGACTTGGAAATTTATCAACATTGCTTCAGTATGGTTGGTTCATAATTATGGAACTTCCTCCCTAACAGTATTGTGGGTCTAGCTACAGCATGTAGACTGTAGCAGTTCAAGAAAGCAGCTCACCACCACTTTCTCTGGGCGACTATAGATGGACAATAAATGCTGTCAAACCAGTGATGCCCACATCCCATGAATGAACAATCAAAAATGTCAGTCTCTCTGAACACAGAAATGTAATCTCGTAATAATAGTGGTCTAATTCACTGCAAGTCTATTCCAAAGAAAAAAGACTTTATACACATAAAAACAGAAGAACAATACATTCTTGTACATATTTCTGAATTGTGAAATAATGTTTTAAAATTCAATCAAGTGAGTATATGGTCCATTGGTGTCTGTTTGCAGCACTTGTCTGATCCCATAGGTCCCATGCCTGACCACAACTCCAGCTTCAGCACATTTAGCATTTGAGGCAAATTCCTTTTCACATAGAGCAACAAAGTACTCGTACAGTTCTTTTCCTTCCTCTTTTCCAATGTTATAATGGTACTGCATGCTACGCCCCTTGAGTTTGCCACCCAATGTGGCCTGAGGTATAATGACAACATTAGCAGGTAGATCCAGCACTGACACATGGTTGCCTTCATCGGTCTCACAGAGCTTCACGTTCAACAACGTATTAACTGTAGCAGGAGAAAAAAAATCGAAAGCTTAGTATGTGCAGTTGCATTCATAACCCTAACTACTTGACCACAATATACTTTATCAACTCTATTAGAACAAATTTGAATGGGCACTAGTTACTTCAGTTGGCTGAATGACTACAGTGTGGATCAGAACGCCAATAGCATGAGTTTGATTCCCACTAAGGTTGAGGAAGACATGGTTCTTGTGTTTTGACCTGGTTCTGAAAATGTAAAGTATCAAACCACCATCCTAAGAAACCACCATGAAAAATGGCCCAAGATAAAGTATTAGCAGATAATGAACCATGGACTTGTCTTTGGCACAGCGCACATGAATCAGAATGGAATAAGTATTCAAGTTACACTTGTATTCTATTAAATATTATACTGTGTTCAAGTCACAATTTCTTAGCAAGCTTGTAACTTTACAATTTTCACAACTTAAAAATGTTGACTCAATCCGTTTGCAGATCTATTTTCCAAAGGCTACACTTGTTCCATTCCTTTCAACGAACCTTATGTTGCGCTCATCAATAAGATCTATATTAGAATTGAAAAACTGAATATTTCCATTTCGGACACCCACCGACAGAAACAAAACTCATTATTTTGGTTAAATACAGAATTAATTTCCCTCCACTGTGCTTCACCAACATCCCTCTGAACGGGTATGCTAGCTTTTTGTGATTTAGGCACAAGGACACCAAAACCCTCTGTGCTGCAGCTTTCTCTACTGGAATAATATTCAGTTTCCTTATTCGTCCTGCCAAAGTGCATGACCTCACATCTTCTCACATAATATTCCATTTGCCAACTCACTTGACTTGCACATATCCCTTTGCAGACTGTGTTATCCTCATCACTTGCTTTTCCACTTGTTCTTGTGCTGCCTGCAAACCTGCAATCAAACATTCATTCCCCTTATCCAAATCATGAATATATATTGTAAATAATCATGGCCCCAGCCCTGATCCCCAAGGTATTCTGCAGTTACAGGTTGCCATCCTGAAAATGCTGCCACCCACCCCAATTATCCCAAATGTCTTATAATAGTTGGCCAATCCTCTATCCATGCAAATATACTAATCCCAAAACTATTAGCTCTTATCATTTTGTATTTCGGAATCCTATTAGCGTCTTCAACTGTGAAAAGTAGTGCAAGTTTGTATTCTACACCTATACCATTTCTTGTTTTCCTATTATTATTTCCCCAGCCTCACTGTCTTAGGATTAATGTTCACTTCAGCCTCCCTCTTCCATTTTATATTTTTAACAAGCTCTTCCTGTCTGTCTTGATATTACTTGCAAATATACTCTCAAAGTTTATGTTCTCCTTTTATTGGGTCATCTTTTGTTGTCTGAATTTAAAACTTTCCTAATCCTCTGGCTTATCACTAATCTTTGACACATGGATAAAACAAAAAGCATACAATTTGAATTGATGCTATCCTTAACTTCCCTGGTCACTCATGGTTAGCTTATCCCCTTCCTAGAACCCTTCTTTCTCACTTGGATATCTCTTTGTTGTATGTCATGAACTATTTCACTTATCACCTCAGTGAATGCTGACCTACATTAGTTCCTGGTTAGGTAATATGTTGATTTTAAAATGCTTATTTTTGTTTTCAATGCTCTCCAGGGCCTCATCCCACATCTCTGTAATCAGCTCCAGTGCCACAAGCCTTCAAAATGTGTGTGATCCTAAAATTTTGATCTCTTGCACACATACTATTTTAACCACTCTACTATCAATGACTTTGCGTTCAGTTGCTGAGGCCCTCAGTTGTCCTCCAGATCCTTCTCCAGCAATCTAAGTTGCTTTCTTCCTTTAAGGCACTTCTTACAACCTATAATCTTTTCAAACTTATGGGTGTCAGACCTTATCGCTTCTTATGTAACAGGGTGTCAGATTTTCTTTCATTACAGCAAAGTAACACCCGCAATAAATTGGAGATGCTTCAAATCAAAAAGTTAATTTTCTTCAAGAGATTTGTTAGAAATAAAAAAAAACTGAAATCTGCAGGGACTTCTTAAATAAACTGGAAATTTTACAATTATTTGTTTTATAATACGTAAAAGTATGTTCACATATCTTTCTCTAACTTCACTCCAATTTCCTTCATACCCATCCTTGAGTTCATGATGGCCATAGACTAACCTTCTGTTTTGAGTTCTATTCACACTAAACTACTGACCAGCAAATTTCCCTGCTGGCCTCCTGGGAACTGATATTCTTAACAGTTTTTTTTTAAAAGTACTGGAATGCTTCTGTTCAAATCTGCCATAGTCAATCTCCATCTTAAAAAAAACTCAACTTTTTTTGTCCTGATTAACTCCCACATCTACAACTCTACTTTCCTCTCCAAAGTTCTACACGGTTGATTTCCAAACTACTGACAATTGTTTTCACATCTCTAAATTTGAAATTATAATTTCCATAAATCTTGACATCTCTCCATCTCCATCTCCTTCTCTAAAATAGTTGGTTGGTTTGACCAATATTCACTGACTTATTTTAATATTCACAGTGGCTCCTTGTCAATTTTACCGCTTGTTCCTTTAAATGCCTTGGAACTTCAAAAAGAGCTCTATAAATGCATGTTGTTGGTGAAGTTGTTATACATTAATTTTTAAAACTGTGATTGACTCGGCATTGGAAGTCTTGGAACAGCATGAAATAGAAACTGCAGATATTTTTAATCAGGTGCAGAGCTGGATGAACACAGCAGGCCAAGCAGCATCATAGGAGCAGAAAGGCCGACGTTTCGGGCCTAGACCCTTCATCAGAAATGGGGGAGGGGAAGGGGGTTCTGAAATAAATAGGGAGAGAGGGGGAGGCGGATAGGTGGAGAGGAAAGAGACAGGTCGAAGAGCCAGTAAAGGTGAGTGTAGGTGGGGAGTTAGGAAGGGGATAGGTCAGTCCAGGGAGGACGGACAGGTCAAGGGGGCGGGATGAGGTTAGCAGGTAGGAGATGGGGGGTGGCTTGAGGTGGGAGGAGGGGATAGGTGGGAGGAAGAACAGGTTAGGGAGGCGGGGACGAGCTGGACTGGTTTTGGGATGCGGTAGGGGGAGGGGAGATTTTGAAGCTTGTGAAATCCACATTGATACCATTGGGCTGCAGGGTTCCCAAGCGGAATATGAGTTGCTGTTCCTGCAACCTTCGGGTGGCATCGTTGTGGCACTGCAGGAGGCCCAGGATGGACATGTCGTCTGAGGA